AATTTAGGTTTTCAACTTAAATATTAGTATAAAATCACATGTAGTGTTGTAGTCTTCTAAAAAAAGTCTCTTTCTCATACAAGAGATTTTTCTTTTCCCTATCCCTTTATTGTTTCTGCTGTCTCCTCTGAACTGCAAATCTTTGTCAGTGTTTGATCTGTTCAAAGAACCAACGCTTGAGTTAACGGATCAGACTGGACTCATGGCCTATATGGGTAACAAATCTCTTTTTCTGTTACCTCCGCTTATTGCAGGGATCTTGAGTTACTTCAGGATCTGTTCTGCTTTTTCCTCTAGAACAGGAATTGGTAGACTACAGGTAATGAGCCAAATATGGCCCACCGCCTGTTCTTATAAATAAAGTTTGATTGCAACTCAGCATGCCCATTCATTTAAAAATTGCCTATGGCTTCTTTCCTCCTCCAACAGCAGAGAGGAGTGGTTGTGAAAGAAATTACAAAGCCCATAAAGACTAAAATATTTACTATTCCATCCCGCACAGAAAAAGTTGTCCAACCCAAGATCTACAGTCAAGACACAGTCATGGCAGAAGTCCTCAATAAACGTCTCACTTTGTTTATGAAGTATTTCTCAGGCCTTTATCCTGGGGACAAACTCACTGATAAGCTCTTGGGATGTACAGGAGGCAGGACTGGTTCCAACTGTCCACCTCCTAATACGCATTACTTATCACTGACCATGGGCCATGAGCCCCACACGTTTTTTACCTTTACTGAATCTCAGTTTGTAATTTCTCTGGAGTTTCACTGGGATAAAATAGGCTTATCATGGCAATAGCTTCTTTTTAATATGTTTGGACTGTGATTTTCTCTGCTCTTAGTCATCTATCAGTTTGATTCCATCTGTTATCAACTTCTAGGCATTCCTCAAATTATCCGGTCCAGTATTTCCAGGTACAATATGACTTCTTCCCCTATACCTTGTCATTCAATATAATTTTTGACGCGTTAAAGTAACCAGGTTGGGCCTAAGATGGAGTCGCTCACGTTACCCACATCGGCAAACCAAAACTTAACTGTTTCTATGTTGGGCTCTCCCAGAAAAAGCAGGCTTAGGTCAACCGAGCAGTGTTTGCCTGCTCAGCACACGTTACCTGACCTGGCTCCAAGGCTTCCCTTTGCTCCTTACAAGGAAAGTAACCCTGCTTTAATAATCAGCAAATGCCCCTTCTTTGTTCCTGCTTACTTTGGTCTATAAAAATCTCTCGTCTTCTACAGCTCTTTGGAGCTCCTTTCCATCTGCAGACTGAATGCTGCCTGATTGATGAGTCACTGAATAAAAGCCTACGAGGTCAGTAAATTGTCTGTGGAAAATTTTTCTGTTAACAGATGAGAGGGGCGGTAGAGAATATGTGCTCTACTCATCATCCTGTAGCTTCCTGCTGTTATGAAGCATGAGCCTATCAGTTCACAAATTTCTATAAAGACAAAAACAAACAACTCATTTCCAATATACGCTGTGTAACTGCAGCCTTCACAGCCTTCCCTATTTGGGTCAAAGGGTCAGGGCAAGATAAGAACACTATCAACACGGTATGCAATTGTTTCTGAAAAGTTTCTCAACAATTAAAAATGAGGCCAAAACTGACCCTAAGCAGGAAAATGAGAGTCTCTTTCTTATACATATAATATTTCTGAATATTTGTGGTCAGAAAGGATAAATAGTTAAATAAGAAAAGCTTTATATTGTTTATTGTGAGTCTTATTAAAAGTACCCTAGGCAATGTCCCAGCACACTTGTAATTAATATTTTGAATCCAAAATGCTTCCATCTCTTTTTCGCTGATTTGCACACAGCTCAATGATAAAGGAAGAATGGAAAAACTTTCTTATCAGATCCCAAGCCTAACCAAATACTTTTGCCAAGGAACGCTCAAATTTGAGAAATTATATTTTATTTGTTTTACTTTCAAAGACTCTGGCGAGGCAGGGATATATATTCAAAATGCAGTATTTTTGCCTTTAATCCCAACACTACCTAACATGCAATTACAATATGTCTGGTGGGAAATAAAGTTTAAAATAATTATCTTCGTTCACCTCACTACAATTTGGAACTGAGAACTAAGGAAAGAAATTACTTGTTCAGGTAGATTGTCAGTTACAGCCAACTCTGATTTCAGTTTTGAAATTAAGCTATTTTAAAGGACTGAAGTTCACCTTAAAAACTGCTCACAGTATTAGCAAGAGTAGTTTTAATTAAAAACAAACTCCAGCAGACTGTTACCACCATTTTTAAAGAGTGAAAACTAATGGGGTTTCAATTTAGATGCACACACTTCTCATGAACCAAACTGCAGCTTTAACAATATTCAAATGTTAGCTGCTCTGGTGTGCATATTAGTACCAGTGGCAACATTGAAATGCTGTACTGAAGGCATCTGTTGGCTGGTCTGTCAAACATTTCAATTCATGCTGGAAGTGTTTCATAATTAAGCCCGTAAATACTGTCTTCATAAACCACCCTCTTTGTCTACTTCTCATCTAACACGAAAAAGAAGCATTATTATAACTTGAACAAAATGGAAAACTTTAAAACAATTTTAAAGGAGAAAAAAGCTAAATTGTCTTAATTAGCTGAATAACCTAAGGCTACTGGAATATAAATAACTTTAGCTCTAAGAATAAAAAGGATCAACCCTTACATTTAGGTCTTTAATCCATTTTGATTTTATTTTTGTGTATGGTTTTAGGGAGTGTCCTAATTTCATTCTTTTACATGTAGCTGTCCAGTTTTCCCAGCAGCACTAATTGAAGAGGCTGTCTTTTCTCCATTGTATATTCTTGCCTCCTTTATCAAAAATAAGGTGACCATATGTGCGTGGGTTTATCTCTGGGCTTTCTAACCTGTTCCATGAGAACCTAGGGGCAGGACAGGAATAAAGATGCAGATGTAGAGAATGGACTTGAGGACACGGGGAGGGGGAAGGGTAAGCTGGGACAAAGTGAGAGAGTGGCATGGACATATATGCACTACCAAATGTAAAACAGACAGCTAGTGGGAAGCAGCCGCATAGCACCGGGAGATCAGCTCGGTGCTTTGTGACCACCTAGAGGGGTGGGATAGGGAGGGTGGGAGGGAGACGCAAGAGGGAGGAGATATGGGGATATATGTATACGTATAGCTGACTCGCTTTGTTATAAAGCAGAAACTAACACGCCATTGTAAAGCAATTATACTCCAATAAAGACGTTAAAAAAAAAAAAAGAATCAACCCAATGTTGATGACAGGGGAGGCAATAGACAATTCTCATGCACTGATATTGGGAAGGTAAACTTGGCATGATGTTTCAAAGGCTTAAGAAGGTATAGTCTCTGACCTAGCAATTCTACATCTGGAAGTTTATCCTGAAGAAATAAAATATGCAATATGTTTACATGGATGTAAACACAAAGCTGTTTACTACAGTATTATTATTGAGAGCCAAAAATAAAAACCACCTAAATAGCAGTGATAATAACAACAGGCAGTCTTATAACATATTGGGTTAAACTGAATGGACAATTCCTTTATTAACACAGAGGCTATTTGAGTAAAACGAAACACATCCACATGCAAAGTACATAGCCAAACATGAGAGAGGGGGAAACAGAGAGGCGGCAGGAAGAAAGGGAAAGGGTTGGGGGAGAGTGGGTGATAGTCCCTAATGCCAAGGATGTGAATCCAAGCTAAAGCAGTAGAATGAGGTTAACAGGCTAATGCCACGGCAGCCGAAAGGAGAATTTGAGTAGAGACCCACACATCGGAGACTGAAGTTTAAATTGCCCACATGGCAACACAACACTTCTGTTCTCTGCCTCTTATACTCCCTGAGCAAGGCAGGGAGTTAGAACTGAGATGCTGACATAAAGCCAAGATCCTCAGAGTATTACACAGTCCAGTAAAAGGTTCTAGAAAAACTCTACCCACCAGCTCAGAGAAGCAAGAGGAAAGCGTGAAACATCTTGGGGCTTTGGATAGGAAAAAAGTCGTCTAAAAGAAATCAAAATCTCAGGCCTAAGCCATGTGAAGCTATGGCATCCAAAATGACCTTGCCACTATGATCGGTAAATCCCAGACTGAGTAACTAACCACAAAATTAATCCCGAACTCACGAAACCTGTAGAAACCTGCAGGCAACAAGGAGAAAAACACGTAGGGACATCTGCTCAGTGTAGAACACACAGAATTCCTCCAGAAAAAAAAAGCCAACCTGAAGATAACCTTTAAAAATAAACATACAAAAAATAAGTTCAAATTAAAAAAAACAGCCTCAAAGGAACAGAACCACCTAAATAAGACTATTAATGAGATAGAAGAATAAAAACCATAATAAAGACATGTCATTATAAAACTGATTTTTAAAGAACCAAAAAGAACTTTGGTAAATTGAGGTAGAGTAACTGAAATTAAACTTATGAAATGGGTATGTATTAATAAAAGTGTTTAGGGGTAAAGATGACTGACATCTGCAACTTCCTTTGAAAGCGTAATTGGAGAGTCTTACATAGGAGGAAAAAAATATGTACAGTATCTAGGTGTGGGTGGTATACTAGATCCTTGGGAGATAATGGACAAGGATGGATGTTTTTTGTTTGTTTCATTTATTTTTTATTGAAGTATGGCTGATTTACAGTGTTGTGTTAATTTCTGCTGTACAGCAAAGTGACTCAGTTATATATATGTATGTATGTATATATATATACACACATTCTTTTTTATATTCTTTTCCATTATGGTTTATTTCAGGATATTGAATATAGTTCCCTGTGCTATACAGGAGGACCTTGTTGTTTAAGGATGGATGTGCTTTAAACCCATGTAGAAAACAAGAAGGACAACACCAAACTATAAAATGGAAAGCTAAACAAATGATTGCTAAAATCTTCCTAGCATCATACCTTGAACACAGAAGACACTCCATAAAACAAGAATGAATGAATGAAGCTTACCTCTTCAAGTCCCTTTAAATCTCAAAATCATAAATCTTATAAAATACCTGTTTTTTATGGAAATCCTTTAGGGCCGTTTCGTAGCCTTCCTCTAGCCTACTGAAGGCTATTCCTACATCTGTAGTCCACCAGATTTGTGAGCTAGTTAGTGCGACTTGAGCCGGGAAATCAAAAATCCACAGTTCCCTGGGTTTGTCCTCATAGGCTGCGATGGCTTCTGTGATAGAACGTCGCACTGTCTCTTTCATGGTCTGTTCCAGCTGCAGAAGCCACGTTTCCACCTTTTGAAGCAAATGGAAGTGTTGTAACACAGGCTTAACTATGGAAAAGGGATTATTCCATCCTCTCATGGCCTTGAAGGCTACACAGTTATATGTATAACGAGCCAGTGAACTACTGATTAATGAAGTCCTTCCTACGTGAACCTGGATTCTACCGGGATACTGCTCATCTTATTTCACCTACCAGCTGGCTGATAAAATTCCACATCCTAAACAGACAAGGTGTTCTCCATTATTCATTTTTCAGATTTGAAGACCTGATGGTTCTAGACCAAGATCCCCTCTGATAACACACAGTGTTTTGAGAAACCAAGCATCACAGCCAATGTGCTAGAGTAAAATTCTAGAGGTTTGGAAATAATAGGAAATTGATTTTTTAAACCGAAGTACAGTTGATTTACAATGTTGTGTTAGTTTTAGGTATACAGCAAAGGGATTCAGTTATATTCTTTTTCAGAATTTTTTCCATTATGGGTTATTACAAGATATTGAATATAGTTCCCTGTGCTATACAGTAGGTCCTTGTTGTTTATTTGTTTTATATATAGCAGTGTGTATCCATTACTCCCAAACTCCTAATTTAGCCCTCTGCCCCCTTTCCCCTTTGGTAACCATAAATTTGCTTTCTATGTCTGTGAGTCTAGGAAACTGATTTTTTAAATGTATCTTTTGATAATTTTTAAATCTACTAAAGATTCTACCCTCAAATCTACATAGTTCCTAGTCTTAAGCCAAAGTGTTTTCAGCAAGTATCTTAATTATATTCCCTACTGGCTCTCATCCTCACACTTGTCATAAATTACACAGCAGGAGAGTATGAGAGGACAACTGCCGACTTGTGAAAATCTTTTTTAAAAAAATTCATTTGAAGTTTATTTTGCTCCCACAAATATATTTCAGCCAGTTTTCCATCCTATTCAAATATGCTTTGTTATATTTATCCATATATCTGTTTCTTTGGGATGATATTTTATAACAAAAAGGATGCCTATACCATTTGCAAATAATTGATCATATCAATAAAAAAATAACTATAATAAATAAATTCCAAGGACTATATGAGATCCTGAAGATTATACAACTGATTTCTTTCCCCGCCTCTGTGAAGATGACACAGCATTCATTCCTACAACCTCTTTCTCTGGAGGACTGGGAAGGAGCAGTACGTGGTCAGTGAGCTGACAGCCTTCCCTATTGGAAGAAAAAGGGAAGAACCATCCCCAACATCCTAAAAGACTTCTCTCCCGGCTTCCTAGCTGGGCTTTGTTCAGACACCTGAGAGAGGGTGACCTAATCACTACTGCAGTCACTCCGCACAACTCTTAATGTCACCAAGCAGCAAGCTCCTTTAGTAAATTAGGTATCACTTGATCATATCCCAGATACCCTGGGATCCATGTCCTTAGTATGGCCACCTGTTCTCGAGGACTTTCCAGTCCATCTGGGAAGACCAAACACACATACAAGGTGACACATCAACCCGTGTTCACAGACTATGCCACCAACGGCAACTCAGCTCAATATAATTTGAGAACTAAGCCCTGATGAGGTGCTTGCTTGATCTCCCACTTCTTGGTCTTCCATCAGCTTCCGTCCGACCCTCTATAACAAGAATTATCACTTCCCATTATCACTAATTATGTGAATATCCATTTATTCAATAAGCTTAAGAGGTCCCCCAGGACAGGTGCCATGTCTTGTTCTTTTCTGGATCTCCAAAAGCCAAACCCAGCAGCTGGTACATAGTAGGTATTCAATAAACACCTGTCGAATAAAACGCAAAGAGCCGAAACTGGGAGGAAACAATCATAAAAGTGTGGGGGGAAGGGGGGGGGAAGACCTAAAGTAAAAGCATCTTTTTATAAAACAGGCAATTAGAGGGTAAATGTGCTACATGCCCAAAAGTCTCTAGCATAAGTTGCTTATATAAAATAAGTTAGAGCACTGTGAAAACTTTCAGTACCAAGGGTTCCTGCTAGTGACACCCACATCTATGGTTGGACTGTCCTCCTGGGCACTATGCCAGTCAGCTAGCAGTCTGCCGGGGGGAGGCAGACAGCAACACACTTTTGTCAAGATAGTTTATGGTGATTTTTTCTAATCATTGTAATAATATCCTAAAGAGCCCCAGAAATCACAAATATACTTTAATCAAAGTATTCCACCATCTGCTTCCCCTGCATTTGGCAGGATTTCTCTGGTACAATATTAAAAAGCAACAGAGAGGAATAAAGGAAACCCTTGTAAAAAAAAAAAAAAAAGGTTGCCATCACATTTCTGCAAGGGACCCTTTAAGGAACCCCCTGCCTCAACCTAAACTGTTCTGCAATAGAGGTTACTGTCTCAGTTACCCTGTGGATTAACTCAACCTATATAAGCATCGTCGTAAAAAGATGCAACTCCTCTAAATCATCTGAAAACACCAAGAGCTGCTTCGTAAATCGTTAAGAGCCATTCTTATAGATAACTGTTAAGAATGTGTTTGAGGTGTTTGGCTGTGAGAGAAGAGAGGATGTTAACTGTCTGTGCACACGGTAATTAGTGTACATGACATTAGCTTAGCGGACTCAATCAACTTTATTTACGAGCAGCCATTTACAACACCCATGTCAGAATCCTGAACCACAGCCTCTTTAAAACGTGCTTCATTGCAAGGTGCTGCTTCACCCTAACCCTTCCCTGTACTCTGAGCAGGGGTGAAAACAATGTGCTCTGTAGGAGACTCAGTCACTGGGTGGCATTTGCGACTAATTCTGGGGTTTACTCGTTCAGTCTGTGACAGTCCCTCCCGTCTGGCTCAACTGTGAGCAAGTGTGAGCTCCTGCAGGGTGCTGAAGCCTGATGATCAGAGTGGGAAGCATGGTAGAGGAGCCCTCTGTCACACAGGACACAGGTAAATGGGAATCTCTGAGCACAAAACTAACCAGAGCCTTATTTGACATGAGTTGATTTTTTCTTGGTCAACTTTTAAAAATTATCCCCCCAATACTTCTCTGGCATAGAGAACCTCATAAGCAAATCTTACATGGCCTATGCATTCACACTCAGCTGGGAATGGGACGTATTCCTTTTCTTTGCTGTACATTCCAACGGCCCTGTGCGCAGAAACATCCTGATCGCCTTCAAACTGCAGATCTACAATGCTGTCAAAGAGTTTGGAAAGGTGGTGTGTAACCTAAGACAAGATAATAAGAAGAGATAAGAGCATTTCTTACTGCATATATGTTCTGGTAATCTACAGATGTGGCTAAATGAATTCACAAAACTGTCTTTATATCGTTACAGAGATGCCTCAAAATGTTTTTCTTCCAAATAAAAATCACTTCTTCAATTCCAGAGTTTGAAATGACCCAGATGGAGAAGTGGCCAGGCACTCTGATCACATCAACAGGTGTTGGGAGGTGAATACTTACCCTGCTAGGTTATCTATTTTCTCCTTAAAGGCTGGAGACTTACCAACTTCTCTATCTGTACCATATTCCTGTAGCAATGATGCTGCTGGGAATTTTGTGGTCAGGTTATTAAAATTCAGACATGGTATTTTACTTACACCATAAAAGACCTAATATTGTTTTAAAAAAAAAGCTGTGTTAAAATATGTGAAACAAAAATGTAAATTAGATAGTCTTATTCTTGGGTCAGGTCTTATGTTATTGTGCACTTGCTTTGCTATTTACATGAGCCCCAGAGCATATCTGTTACATCAGAAAGGTGAATGGGGTTCCCCCATTTTCATTGACAAAGAAATTGAAGGTAAAGTATTAGGTGACTTCATCAAGTTGACACTGCTAAGAATAAGTCGCAGTTAGATTTAAACCTCCAAGTCCAAGCCACATCTACAAAGTTCAAACTCTTCGAGCATCATAACCTTTTACATCCTAAGTTGTGGGATCTCCAAAAGAACCCCCAGTAAATAGCATACTGAACCCTGTGCAGGTTCTGGACTCCTTGAAAAATAAAACCAAGTTAAAAAGACAAAGAGCAGCACGTGTTCTGCTAGAGGCCAGTTCAGAGATGAAAGCCCAACTGGCCTCCAAACAGAACACAAGAATCAATAAGACATCCATCTGGTCATATCAGCACAGACTGGGACCGGCCTCTCCACCCAGCAGAACTGGCAAGGAGAAAAGGAGAGGAAGACGCGTGTTCTGCAGGCTACCAGTAAGGGAAGCCGCTCTACCTCCCCCTGGGATGGACTGAATAGAGGGCAGAGTGAACCACAGGAACTATCAGGAAAGGGAACAAGCGCTCCCTCCTTACACTTGGCAAAATTACTGTAAAACCTGAGAAGTGGGAAACAGTTTGGTGATTCCTCAAAAAGTTAACTAACTAGAAACTTGTCATAGGACCCAGTAATTCCACTCCTAGATATATACCCCAAATTACTGAAAACATGTACTCAAATACTTGTACAAAAGTTCAGAGCAGTATTATTCACAGCAGCCAAAAGGTGGAACCAATCCAAATGTCCACTGATGGATGAATGGACACATTGTGCACTGTGGCATATCCATACAATGGAATATTGTTCAACCATCAAAAGGAAGTAAGTAGTGGTACACTCTACAACATGGATGAACCCTGAAAACATCATGCTACGTGAAAGAAGTCAGTCACAAAAGATCTTATAGTGTATGATTCCATGTACATGAAATGGCCAGAATAGGTAAATCCACAGAAACAGAAAGCAGACTGATGGCTGCTAGGAGACAGGGGGACAAGGGAATGCACGATGACTTCGTAATGGGCACGAGGTTTTTACTGTGGGGTGATGAAAATATTTAGCAACTAGACAGAAGTGATGGATGTACAACATTGTGAACAGACAAAATGCCAATGAATCATACACTTTAAAATGGCTAATTCTGTGTTACCTGAATGTCACCTCAGTAAAAAAATAATAATAATAAAAGGTGCTGACATTTCCCAGCACATAGCATTAAAGCCATCTCTGCAATGAGTTTTTCTTGAAACACAGTTTAACTGGACTTGATAACTATACCAATAGCAGCTTCTACAAACAACAGCAACCTGCCTAAATTTCCCATGTGAAAAGACCAGTACCAATATTGGTAAGGAACTCCTTAAGGGCGATTTAATCTTTGAAGCTTTTAGCCTTAACATTTTTGCTGTATTCACAGTTTTAGTACTGAAGAAAAGCACAGCAAGGAATCTTCCGAGTTTAAAATAGATGAGTTTTTGAGTCTCTCACTTTCAGTGTAGACAGAGTGGTACCTGATGATCACTGCTTGGGTTATCACAGTCTCCCACATCCCTGTACATAACCCACAGGACATTATACACAGAAAGTATCTCCAATCCTCTAACAACTCGCTGTCACAGCTGAAGTGGCCAGGAGGTGCACAGATGTTTAATGGCTTCTACTGTGTAATGGGCCTAGTCAGGTACAAATAATAGTCAGGTACAAAGCTGCGGGATGAATGAGACCTCGACCGTCAGACATCCTCACACATCATTGCTTTGGTGAGGAAAGCATTTCAAAAGAACTCTAGTCCTCTAGTCACTCAGTGGGTGACCAGGAAACACAAACCCCACGGCTTGAGGTTCTCCCATGACTTATGCCTGGCGTGTTGGAAGTTGGATATTTTCCTATTCTGCCTTCCATTTAGAGCTTCTGAGAGAACAGGACCATTTTTTTAAACTAACAAGGATGCTGTTGACCTCAGATTTGTTCCATTTCTAATGATATCCCTTTGTACCTGTTAACACAAAATTAAAATTCCTTTTTCCTAGTTTGTCTTTGGAAAGACTTATTTTACAGTTTAAAAAATACATAAAAACTAATGCCTCAGAGGCCCCCTCTTTGCACCACACTAAAGAAACAGAAAGGATTTGAACACTTCAAATCATGGAATTCAATAATTTTGTTGTATCTTGAGTAGGTTTCTAAAAGGTTAGCAACAAAAGTTGAAATGCTGTTCCACTGGTTTACAGTAAATCAGGTGCATCCACCCACTGGTGCGTAGACAGACAGGCAGCCCCTGCTTTGTACAGTAGGGCGCGATCGTAAAAACCACCATGCAACCTCCACGATCAATGGGCAAACTTACGATTGTGCTTTGGCCGCTAAAAATTTTCGTTAAAACATTAAAATCCCTCTCACTCTTGGTTATAAAAGTACAGAGAAATAAAAAGTGTAAACTAATACCTAGTACACTAACTTAAAATACTAAAAGAAAATTAAAAATTAAGTGTTTTACTCCTTTATAGGAAACTTATCAAGAGTAGTTCGAACAGTGCTTGCCTCCTTCTTCTCATCTTGTAACTTAAAATACTGAGTGAGCACCTTCCCTATGCTTTGTGTAGTCGCCATATTCCTTTGGAAGTTTGGATTGGCTGCCAACCTTTCATCCTTTGAGGTCTCCATGTCCTGATATTTCTGAGAGTTTCTTTAATGTCAAGTTTTTTTTTTCCTGGTATCACTTCCTCTAGGACATCTTCATCATTTTTGTCACAACCAGTGTTTACATTTATATCAATGAGTTCATTTTCACTATAATCCTCTGGCTGCATATCTACAACCTCTCAAATGGTGTAGTGTCATTTCCACAGTCACCTTTCTCTTCCATAGCTACATCTATGATTCAAATTTCATGTCTAGCGTTATCAATTTTCACTACTTTGCTATACTATCAACTTCATTACTAATTCCCTCTTTTGAAGGTTTATTTTTGTAAACCGTCATGTGGGTTCTTCACTGGGGACAAGGTGGTAACACACTACGTTCTTTGCTGATTACGTCAGAATCAAACAACAAATGTGTGACAGCTGACCACAGACAGACTTTGAAAGGTGTGACGTAACTGGTCACGAGTCAAGATGTACATCTGTTACTGACATGGTGATTTTTGTGGACTGAGGAGGCAGCAATGAAGTTTGTGCCTCTCGAGATCACTCACAGTTAACACACCGTAGTATGTGAAATTTGAACCATGTTATTGGGGGAACAGCGTTAAACTGATCCTTGGTAACTGAAATTCGTATTTTTCAGGTCTGTGCACAGGGAGAGCTGCCTTTTTAAGATAAGACATTTATCTACCTGTAAATAAAGTCAAAAATATTTACTCATCTAGGTAATTTTATAATTTAAAATGCAAACTAATACAGCAATCAGATCAGCAGTCTACCCTATGTTCACCTAGAAAAGAAAGGGAAGAAAAACGAAATCATACAGCTTCTACATATGCTTTTATGTATATCTTAGATGGATTGCTATGTCCTAGTTTCCCTGTATGGCTACTATACATTCACAAAGCTTACCCCTTGCTTTTTGCCTATATCTCATTTCATATTTGCCCCATCTATGAAAGATGCTGCTGCTGATTAACTGAGATAAAACAGACACAAAGTCCTGATATTACTCCTGGCATGATGAGCACCTCAGGATTCATTCACACGTAGTCATTAACTCATTTATACATAATGATGGTAATACTCATGATAGTATTTGTGAGAAGATAAGTAATGTCCAAAATGTAGGCAGTCCTGTCTATTGTGAATATTATCCTCTAGAACAAGAGAAAAATGAGTCCTTTATTTTTACATGTAAAAAAATTTAAGTCTGTCATAATGTTGAATAGTTTATTGTTGTGTTTTATATTTTTAATAATACTCAATATAGGTGACAGTATAGGGAAATGGACACGCAACATTGTTGAAAGTCTAAATATGCAAAAACTTTCTAGAAGTTGGTTAAATCAGTTATAGCACTTTCAAATAATGAAAACTTTTATCGACATTAAACATCATATTGTAGAATATTTCAATTTTGATTAAGTATATATGTTCTTACCTACACAAACACAGACATATAAAGAAAAACTACAACCACTCAAAACTAGCATCTAGGAGTATGTTATTCTTATCTTTAGTATTTTTATATTTTTCAAATTTTCAATAGTGAACATGCAATTATATAATTCAGAAAGACTAAATTTGTTATAAATTTTGTAAACCATTATAGCCAATCCTAGGTATTGGGTATTGCTTGGTTTGCTTTTACCAAAAATAAAATCATAGTATACATAATATTTTGCAATTTGATTTTTCACTAATTAATATAACTTGGACATACCTATATTATCGGTGCTGATTCTGTATTTCTTCCTTAACATTTTTAGCATGTGTATGTAAATATATATAGATATGCTGACA